ATATATGGGGTGTTCCATTTAAAAAAATTAAGTTGCTAGGACTTTTTGATGGAAGTGGCAACGCCGCAATGCTGAAAATATTTTAGATCGATAGAACAGGTAAAGAAATGTGAGAGGTGAAATTTTCAGAAAAATCATGCTTTGCGTTTTCCAGAAACGTCTAACCTACCATCGACCGTGAGTCGCGCTGTATACTTGAAACCGCTGTTTACACAAAGAGCATCAATTTTATTGTAGTTAATTCACAAAACAAAATCAATACTCGACAAAAATATGTTTATATAGCTTTTAGTAATATGAATATCGACTACAATTCAAATAAAGCAATGGCTCCCAGAATATTTAATTCAATTCCTAATCATATAAAAAGAAGCCAAACAATATACAGTTTCAAAAAAGCTCTGAAAGACTATATATTGAATGAAAGCTTCTACTCCGAAGAATATTTACAAAAACAAAAATGTTCTTATACCTGTAGAAGTTCTAATGGAGTTATTTTTTTATAAGGTATTTTGTGTTGTCTGATGAGCGCCCCGAAGCGCCAATTAATTTTTATTGTTGTTTTTGTTTTATTTTTATCGTTGTTTTAATTATTGTTATTATCAAAGTAACAAATTTGAACCAGGTTTCAATGTTCTAGTTAAACTAGGAGTGGAGATCGGCAAAAATTTATCTTTCGGCAGGAATTCGTCAATTACGTGGTTCAATTGACATAAATGTTTGGCGTATGTACAATAAACTCCAAGTTATAGATTGATCTTTTAAGGGGTATCTCATCATGCTGCTAGAGCTTTTGTGGCGCAGAAGCGCAGGTTATTTGGAATCGTAGACCACTATACTTGTACTTTTGCAACTTCACTTCACATTTATATATTATGTAATTGTATTTATTGAGAGTAATCCTCATCTTTTAGTGAAGGAATAAGGACGGATACACATGAACGTGCATTCATCCAATGGATTGAGAATACCACCTCATAGAAAGGCTCAATTTGAAAGAGGAGCTGACTACAGAACCATCAGATTGTTCAATCATCTCCTGGTTGTACTGAAATTCTTCGGAAGCTTGCACTTATTTGAACTTATAGCCAAGGATTATCTGTTAAATCATTGTTTTTATTCTATTGAAGAATACTTGACCGCCCAATGACTTATACACGTTTGTTATGTGTCCAACATGTCTCTGTTAATTTTGATGTACAAGAATAGATTAGGTCAAGTTAGGTCTAAAGTGAGTGGGTCTATTTAACCCTCCACCGCAATCCGCAAGGGTTTATTGTGGCTCACACCTATCCACACTCAGCCAAATAAAACCAGTTTCTTAACGAAGCCGTTTAATTTGTACTCTAAGAACCTGATTCGGTCCCCAGCGGGGCAGGCAGGTCTGCGACTAAAAACACCTGCACCAGAACCGGAAGGTGTTTTTGATCCATCTCTGAACCAACAACTATCTGCTCTTAATATTTCCTTCTCCCGGAGGATCCAGTCCTCTCTACTCGGGAATAGTACTTTATAAGGCAGTTCATAGAAAGACAGTTGGAGGCATAAAGTCATAGGTCGTTTTCTGTAAAGCCTTTGGCCACCAAGCAACTGCACCATAAGTGATCATTGGTCTGATAATAATCACATAAATCCGGTGGATTTGTTTGGGACTTAAACCCCAAGTTTCACTACGAATCCTTCGACATGTCCATAGAGACAGTCTGGGTTTGTGTAAAACTTTTTCCAAGTGAGCGTTCCAGGTGTCTTCTATCAAGGACAATGCCAAGATATTTCATCTCCGTTCCAAATGAAATGACCTCACCACTGAGGGAAATTTCTGGTCTTTGGTTTTGTTCGATTTGTATCTTTAGAATGTTTTGTAACGTATCCTACAGATTGTGACTGTGTCAATGTCTCTTGTAGATTTGATGGCGTTAATAAATATCATTATTATTACTAAAATTGTTATGTTTACTGGATCTGAGATCTAAATATTTAAATAATTTTCAGGTACTCAGCATAGACTACGATCAACTTTCCGATGAATTATTGGCTATTCTGGATTCCGCAACAGAGTTGAGGAAACTTATTGTCCATCTCCATGCCATATCCGAAGAGCATCCAGGCACTACAGACGAAGCTTGGATTAAATTTAGAAAAAAACATCCGGCATGCCAATTGTCCATTACAATTATACATGCTTTTAGGGATATCGATGTACTTGACCAACATGTCTTGAGAAGGCATATGCCACTTACCCACTTGAAAGTATTTTTTTGTGAAAAGGTGAGTGCATTTGCTGAAAAATGTAGTGAGTGAATTTTTGAATTGTGGATTAAACTCAAAACATTACAAATAATGAACCTTCATTTATATTTTTACATTCAACTTTGCATATATTTACAACAAAAATAAGTATGATTTTCTAATCAACACCACTTAAGTGCTCATTGATATATACAGATCATTTTTTTATCTGTTCCAACCATTTCTATCTCGGAAATAAAGTCAGTTAAAATAGACAAAAGTTTCATATTTGTTATAATCTGACATGAACCAATTTGCGACGTTTCGTTCAGCAGATGCCGATATAGTGTAATTTTTACCTGAGTATAACATCACGTTATATGCTGATGACTCATCTTTTCTTGTCTCCCAGAAATGTAGTGAAATGAATGAACAAGCTTGTAACCATCTTCTTGGTCAACTAGGTTATGGTTTTCAGCTAATCAACTACATTTCAATACAGAAAAAACTGAGTATCTAATCTTTCACACCAGACAAAGAATAATAAACAATCCACTCCCAATCAAACTGAATGATATAAATATTATCAGAAAATCAACAACAAAATTCTTGGGAATAACCCTAGAGGACGATCTCAGCTGGAATGAGCATATTACAGCAACTATAAATAAATTAAATACAAAAATATATCAAATTCGATGTATGCGGAATGTGGTTGATATCGGAAGTTTGA